TGTGGTCTATCAGACTAAAATACCCACTGCCATTGAGTTGATTCTGACTCATAGTGACCCTATAGGACAGAGTAGAACTACCCCATAGGGTTTCCAATGCTGTAAAATGTGGTCTGTAGGAACGTTTAATATTTAATGTGATGTGGGGCAGTGTCTTCATCAGTAGGAGTGCTCAAGTTCCATAGACGTCTTAAAATAGCCTTCTGCCCAGTTACTTGAGCTACAAAACTCTGAAACTCACGGTGGAGGTGGTGGAGGAGGGAGACAAATACATTTATTTTCTCATCATCCTTAAACCCTTAAAGGGCAGAGTACAGGTCAGAATTAGGCACCAAATGAGTTCTCATTTCAGCACCATAGGTCTTACAGTTAGTATATAATACCCCCAGCCACTCAGCTTAGATTTTCTGTGAGTCTTGCGTTTTAGTATTTAGTGGTCTGTTTGGTGTTTATTGCTGTTGTTTGTTTTTACTTTTTTGGATTTTTCTTAAATATTTTAATGGGAAATTGGAAAAATTTCTGAGTCATAACCAGATGCAGTCTTGAAACTGAAGCCACAAAGATGTTTTGGGAATAAGACAGGGACTTGGAATGGGGGGCGTTACTTGTTATTCTTGTTATTTTAACAAAGGTACTCATTTTTGGATATTTCAATGAAACATGTGAGGGTGAAACTTAGTGTAATCTTTTAGAGAATCAAGTTAGCAATATCTATCCAGAGTGTAAAAGAGTATATACTCTTGAACATATAAGTCGAGTTGCTGAATTTAACATTAAGAAATAAAAGATGAAATTGCTGGGCAGAGGGCTGTGGGGACCATCATCTCAGGGAACATCCGGCTCCACTGGCATAACATAGTTTATAAAGAAAAATGTTCTACATTCTACCTGGTGAGTAGCCATCTAAGGTACTCCACTGGTCTCACCCCTTCAGGAGCAAGGGAGAATGAAGAAAACAAGATACAAGGAAAAGATTAGTCCAAAGGACTAATGGACCACAATACCATGGCATCTACCAGACTGAGTCCAGTACAACTAAATGGTGCCCAGCTACCACCACTGACTGCTCTGACACGGTTCACAACAGAGGGTCCCTACAGAGCTGGAGAAAAATGTAGAACAAAATTCTTACTCACAAAAAAGACCAGATTTCCTGGCCTGACAGACTGGAGAAACTCCGAGAGTGTGGCCCCCAGACACCCTTTTAGCTTAGTAATGATGTCACTCCCGGGGTTCACCGTTCAGCCAAAGATTAGATAACCCCATAAAACAAAACGAGACTAATGGGGCACAGCAGTCCAGGGACAAGGACTAGAAGGCAGGAGGGAACAGGAAAGCTGGTAATAGGGAACCCAGGGTTGAGAAGGGGCAGTATTGACATGTCGTGGGGTTGTTAACCATTCTCATAAAATATGTGTACTGTTTAATGAGAAACTATTTGTTCTGTAAACCTTCATCTAAAGTACAATAAAAAAATAATAATAATAAAAATAAAGTGTTAAAAAGCGAAAAAAACAAGATTTGCAGGAGTTAATGGGGCATCAGGTCAACAACTTACTGCTCAGTGGTTCAGGAAACAAAGGGTTTTCTGTCAACCAATTCTGAGCTGTATGATTATGGGCAGATTATCTCATCTCTCTGCTTCCATGTCTTCATCTGTACTATGGGGATAATGATAGTATCTATCTCTTAGATTGTGGTGAAATTAAATGAGATAGTGAAGGTAAAGTGATTATTTAGAGTGCAGTAAAAGTTGTCTTTTTTTTGAGTGGCTTTATATATCAGCTACAACTGTGGTATAATTATTCGGGTTACCGACACTTGTTTTTCATACTTCTCCTGTTTGGGGCTCTCTTTTAGTCTGCCTTCCCTTCTGTCCCAGTCTTGGTCTCCTTTCCATCTCAACTCTTGTCTCTCTAACACAAAGCTTCACAATAAAAAAGCACTGAGTTTGAATCCAGAAGGTATGAGTTATATCCTTGCATGGTTATAGTATCTTAACCAGCAGAGAGAATTAGTACGAAAGGTAAATGTACAAAAATTACACAAGAATCTTATTTTTACAGATTCCATAAAACAGGATTGTTTTCCATTAAAATAGAAATTGACAGTTCACCCTAGAATATTATTGAAGATGAATTAGATTCTATTTTAGTAAATATGGAAGCTAACACATAGCATTCTCTTCCTTTTTACCATCGAAATAAAATGTGCACAGCCTGCATAAAGAATTCATATCATAACTCAGGTCATCTTTTACACACTTAAAAGTATATGTCTGTTATGCATGGATATTAAACCAGCATTTTAATGCTGTTAATTATTAAAATGTTTATTTTCCTATAGAATTCTTAGCAAAGGTGACAACTTTGCAAATAATAAACAGCAGAAAATACTTAACTGAAGACCGGCTCTTTGTTTTCTAGTTAGTTTTTTTCACATTAACCCTGAGTCTGCTGTTTTCAAAAGTCAACTTTATCGTCAAGAGTTTATCTATAACTATCAAAGAAAAGCAGCTTTATTTAAATTTAACTTGCATAATTTCGGTTGATTGGGTTGTATGTGTGTGTGTGTATGTGTATGCTATGTGTGTGCTGTTTTTATTGTTGTCGGGTGTTTGGTGGGCCTTGGGGAAACTAGAAGAGGGTGATAGTATATCTTCCATTAAAAAAAAAAAAAAAAGAAATCCTGCAACTTCAGCATTTCACAACACTTAACTTGGGTTGAAGTGTAAAATCCTGCAAAACTACTTAAGGAGAGCTCTTATATAGAGCACCATAAAAGTTTCCTTTTAAGAAAGTAGTATTTAATTTCTGATAATCTGTTTCTGTCATGCTTCTATGCAGTCTTCTATACTATAGCATCCCACTAAACTAAAAGCCAATTCATATAGACTTTACCGTATTGGACTTAAAAGGAGAAAAATAAAGTGTAATGGTTCCTTAGTAAAGAGCATCATAAAAATATTGCATCATTTAATTTCTAAGTATAAATCAAAGTATATAAGTAGCACTTTATCTAAGTTTAAATCCTAAAAAAGAAAGTTTGCTTTGTTTTGCAAGGAACTATAATAGAAATTCTTGTAAATTTAACACTGGCTGATTTTTTTTCCCAAAAATATATCTGATTATTCTGATTACAGGCAACAGGTTCAAGACTTGGTGCCATAACACAAAATGCAACGTGCATGGGACTCTCAGTTATCGTTTCTTTCATATATGGATGGGAGATGACACTCTTGATTCTGGTTATTGCCCCAGTGCTTGCTCTGACAGGAATAATTGAAACTGCGGCAATGACTGGATTTGCCAACAGGGATAAGCAAGAACTTAAGCATGCTGGAAAGGTAAAATGAAGACTGTTGTTACCATCATACCTGTTTTAAGAGAAAAATAATCAAAGCTCCCATCTTTATAATATGTTAACTTCATCCATTAGGAATCTGTAAAATGGTGTATATATATACTGAAAGTCATACAAAGCAGTTTAGGGTAGTGTGTAGATATGTTGGCACAGTGGTTAAGAGCTCGGCTGCTAACCAAAAGGTCAGCAGTTCAAATCCATCAGCCGCTCTTTGGAAACCGTATGTGGCAGTTCTACTCTGTTTTATAGGATTGCTATTAGTCAGAATCGACTCAATGACAACAGGTTTGGTTTTGGTTTGATTGGTATATTATAACAATATGGTGCAGTGATTTAGAGTAGGGGCTCTGGAGTTAGATTGGTTGAGTTAGAATCCAGATTCTATCACTAAGCGTATGTGTGATATGGGCAAGTTATTTAAACTTTTCTGGACTTCAGTTTCCTCATCTGTAAAGTAGAAATAATAATAGTATCCACCTATGGATTTTTGTGAGGAGTAAGAAAAACACTTAGAATTATTGTACGCAAAACATTTATAATAGTGTCTGGAAGACATTAAAAAAAAAAAAAAACCTGTCGCCTTCAAGTCAATTCCAACTCATGGTGACCTCTTGTGTTACAGAGTAGAACTGCTCCACAGGGTTTTCTTGGCTATAATCTTTACAGAAACTGATCTCCAGGCCTTTCTTCCATGGCACTGCTGGGTGGGTTTGAACTGTCAACCTTTAGGTTAGTAGTCTAGCATAAACCATTTACAGCACCCAGAGACCTTTGGAACACAGTAAGCATTCAATAATGCCAGCCGATATTACTATACTGTGTCATGGGGAATATTTGCTAACCTCATGATTCCTTATCCTCTGATTGCTGAATAATTAAACTTGCCTGAACAATTCATTGTGCTGAGTATTTTGTTTTTCAAAATAAATCAGAAATATAATAG